TGTTCAGCGACTAGTTCAACGAGGAAGACCCAACGACGAAAAGCACCATCAAAAGAGAAGAAGTAGCAAACCCAACAACCAGAACTAACAATCTATGCAACAATTGGTTCAGCGAGGAAGACTTAGCAACGAAGGCATAGAAACAATCAGTCGACACACAGGGGAGCACAAATCCAACCATAAAATAGAAAGAAGAAGGCGCTAGTGAAGCCAAGAGCAAAAACTAGAACCAAAAGAAATAGCCAACACCAAACAATCCAAAGTTGCCATAAATCAACTCAACAGAAACAGAAACAAAAAGGCACCAATGAAGCCAAAAGCAGAAACTAGAACCAAAAGAAGCAGCCAACACCAAATAATCCAAAGTTTGTCATAAATCAACTCAACAGCTTTGCAAATCAAATATCCATAATAAATTGAGATTTCTTACACAACAATAAAACAAAAATGGCACTAAAAATTAAAATTCGGCACTGTTCACATCACGTAAACATTAATTTTGGCACTGTTCACAGCGCGTGAACAATATTTTTGGCATTGTTCACAGCTCTTAAAACCAAAAAAAATCAGCAACCCACCAATTACTAGCCCTCAAATCACACAACCCAACACCAAGAACCTTTATTCGCACTACTTAGACTTGATATGAAGTAAAGAAGTCAAAGAAAATAGCAAAAAAATAAATCGTCATAGATGATGTCAGCCCTAATCCACGAATATATTCTCTCCAACTAAATTACTGTGGTGCTACAATATATTTTGGATCGAAACCATGCTTTGATACCATGTAAACTTTGATCAAATAAAAAAGAGCTAAATGGGAAAGAGAGAATATTATTATTGCTAAACATGTCTGTAATTCTCCTTAACCTAGAATACACAATGTAGGCTCTTATATAGTAAAGGAACAGATACATAAATGACTAAGTTACTCCTAAGTCTAAATATGATAACTACTCTAACAAGAGACAATGTCAGTATAAAGAAACGGTATCGAGAAAATATTAAGGAGAAAGCAAGATTGGAAAAAGCGGGTTCGCCTATTAAGCTGGCCTACTAGGCGTCGCCCTACCAAGTGCTCCCCTACCAGGCGCTGCCCTACTTGGCGCCGCCCTACCAGGAGCCTCCCTACTTGGTGCTGCCCTACCAGGCCTCGCCCTACTTGGCGCTGCCCTACCAGGTGTTCTCTTACTAGGCGCCTCCCTACCAAGCACTCCCCTACCAGACCTCGCCCTACTTGGCATTACCTTACCAGGTGTCGTCCTACCAGTGTCAAGTAAGGAGGCGCCACTCTACTAGGCACCTCCCTACCAAGGTTCGCCATACCAGGCACCTCCCTACTTGACGTTGCCTTACCAGTTGCCGCCCTACCAGGCGCTCCCCTATTGGCATACTGGGCACCACCTCCCTACTAGCCTACTGGGCTCTGCCTCCTATCGACCTACTAGACGCCTCCCTGCTGGCCTCCCATAGCACCGCCTAAACCCATGGTATCTCCCCTTCTATCATGGGCACCTCTCATGGTATTGAAGTCTAAAGACTTCTATATGTAGGCAAGATTCTTTCAAGACTAATAACAGACACAACAAAAGGAATTCCAAAAAATGTACAAAACATCTAGTGTCAATAGATTCAACAAAGTCCCTGAAGATGAAAAGGCACCGTGGAGAACAAGAAAACTCTCACTCACTTAAGTGAAGAAGAAGCTCATGCCCTCAACCCTCTCATCTCGCGAACAGTCGGAGGCTTGGGGCACAGGGGGCAAATGACGAGCCCAAAATCAACTAGGCCAAGCCCCAATAAAAATAAACCAAGAGGAGCCCAAATCATTAGTATCCAAAAAAGAGCCCAATGCCCAAGGCACTAAAAGGGGTCCAATTCACCAACGCCCTAAGTACACACCCAAGAAGGTGCCGCCCACATGGGTCACCCAAGCCTCTGGCTCCGCCCAAGGGCACGGCTCCCCTGACTCCTCTTCGTCCTCCTCACTCTGCCACTCCGATCTAGCTCAGGATCCAGGAAGACTGAAGGAATAGGAGCACGTGGGAGAGAATATCAGGATATGAATTCATGGAAATCAAATTCTACCGTAATTGCACTTACCAAATAGAAGGTGCCCTCTCCCTCACGTCACCACCTCACCAAACCTATATAATGTAAGGTATCTCCACATGGAAGGGCATCACATTGAGATCTCTACTTCTTGCCCTATCTACACCACCCTAATTTCTCTCTCCCAAAGCATTGTAACTCTCCTGATGGCTTTTATTCATCAATAATGATCTCCGGCCACCGCTATCATTCCCGAAAGTGGAGTAGGTCACCCAGACCGAATCACTATAAATCTGTGTGTTTGCTACTATTAACTGTTTTGCCATTGATTGCCTATTTATTGCTCATTAATTGCATCTCTTCATATACTTGATTTTTAATCTTGCGCAATACCAATTTGTGCATCATCAGATTCAGATCACAGTCTGCATCTTCTACGTATTTCTAAAGCAGGGGAAAGGTTGTACTTAAACTATAGACCAAGGAGGAGATTTCGTTTTGAAGCTATGTGTCTCACAAATCCCAATTGCTCAGATGTTATTCGTTAGTCATGTCATAGTCTATAGTTTCCATAGCCAATGCTCAATTTTTCTCATAAAGCTCAGAGTTGCAGGGTTGGTGTATTAAAGTGGAAGAATGATACCTTTGGGTATGTAGGCCATCAGTTGCACACAAATATAAGCTTTCCCTGTTACAAGACTTCCCTATGACATAGGAGAATAAATTGGATTTCAAATGTATTCAGGATAATATAATCAGCTATTGGAAGTTGTGGAGATGTTTTGGAAGCAGATGCCTAAAGTCTCTTGGCTTAAAGAATGTAACAGAAATACTAGTTTTTTTCATACGCATGCCACCTAAAAAAATCAGAGGTTTATTTGATGATTCTGGATGGTGGATTACAGATATGGTGCATGTTGAAAGTGTTGTGGTGCATTATTTCAACGATTTACATAAGTCTGATATTCCTTCTTAGTTTAATTTAGATACCAACGGATCTTTGGTTCAATAGTACTCTTTGTTTTATAAAGACTTTGATTTCTTGAGGTCAAGGGTTCAAGTTCCCTCCCCCTCTCCCTCCCTCCCAAATATATATATATATATATATATATATATATATATATATATATATATATATATATATAAATTAATTTAGACGAAGAGCTTCGTTGTGTGGTACCGAAGGTTAAGAAGTACTTCGTAGAGGCTTTGCCTTCTTGAAGTCAAAGATTCAAGTCTCCCTCCCTCTTCCCTTCCCCCTCCCAAAAAAAGTTAAAAAAAAAATCGATGGAAATAGTGGAGGCTTTGAATCAAATGCATCCCTCTAAAAGTCCTAGTCCTAATGGATTAAATGTCTTGTTCTATCATAAATTTTGGCCTATTGTTGGGGATGATGTTGTAGAAAATAGTGTGGTAAAATAATTTCAAGCAATAGAAAAGCAATGAATCAAAAATCGAATAAGATAGATCGCTAGGTAAGGCGCGACACTCGCTATCTTCAAACTAGTAATTTTCCCACTTATAATGTAGATGGACTCTTGGAAATTTTATCCCCGTGATACAATGCCTAACTTTAAGATTATCAAAAACTACACTCCTTAATAATCTTGGAATTAAAACTCAACCCAAATTGAAAATCATAAAATATAGAAGCTTTGAATCAAGGAGAAGAAGAAGGATTAAATTGTTGATTCTGTGTTCTTACATTTGAATCCTATCTATGCCTCTCTCAATGAAGGAGTGTAACCCTTTAAAACCATGGCAAAAGACACCCGTTAAAAGACCTGCAATAATATAGTTGTTAGAGACTAATTTCAAACAGAATACCTGTCGGTTTTGAACTCAACTTTTAGTATCTCAATTGTAAGATATTATGATATTTCTGCCAAAGTACTAGGAGTAAGTCACGTTCGAACATGGGTTGCATTCAAACAAAACGATATCCTAGTATCTTAGTTTCTGTCAAAAACTGTGATTCTGAAAAAGTACTAGAAGCAAAGCATGTTCGAAACGATATTTGCGCGGTTGAACATCGCCTCCCTCTTTTTATTTCTTCTTCTTCTTTATATATATATATATATACACATACAAAATTATAACTTGAAGTTCTCATTACGTAGGATTCCTCTTTAAGATGATTCCTTGAGACTTGGAGTGGAGTATGGAGTTCTTCTTCTATTTATAGGTGAAGATGAATCCATGAAGAACCTCCAAGAACCAATGTGAGATTCATGTCTTTGCCCTCCAACTCACATACTCCAAATGTTTTGGAGGAAAGTGAAAATTTCACTTTCTCACCAAATCTCAATTTAAAAGATTGATGTGTCTCAAGTGGTGCTACCTTCTATTGCTGGGAATTTTAAGAGAGATATTTGATTCAATTCGGCAACGGGTTTGGCAAAGGATTCAAGGCTGGCAGAGTAAAATGCTATTGATTTCTGGTAGAGAAACCCTTACCAAAGTTGTTGCTCAAGCTGTTCCGACGTATGCCATGTCATATTTCAGAATTCCTTCATCCTGATGTCTTGAGCTGCATAGTTTAATGACAAAATTTTGGGAGATACAACTACGGCTTATAAAATTCACTGGTTGTCTTGGGATAAGTTGTGTGTCCCAAAATCAAGAGGGGGAAAGAGATTTCGTAATATGGAAGCATTCAATCTGAGTTTGTTGGCTAAATAGGCTTGGCAGCTTATCAAGAATCCAGATACCTTGCTTGCGAGAGTTCTCAAAGCTAAATATTTTTCTTCCTCTTCTTTCATTCATAGTCAGCTTGTGTATGCTCCTTCTTATATATGGCGTAGTATATTTGCTTCTAAGGCTGTAATTTGTGTTGGTATGAGATGGAGGGTTGGGAATGGAGTTTCAATTAAAATTAAGGAGGACAAGTAGATTCCTCGGCCTTAACATTTAAAGCTATAACCCCTCTTCAGGGTGTCCCAGATGATATGGTAGTAAGTTCTCTGATTGATCAGGATAGAGGATGCTGGGACTATGCAAAACTCATTGATCTTTTTCTTGATTTTGATGTAAAGGATATTTTATTTATCCCATTGTGTGAAGATCTTCTAGCCGATTCCCATGTAAGTCGGGGCCCTATGTCGTTCGAGCTTCGAAGTGGTTATTATCTGATAATGGAGCATGGTTTGCATAGGCAACAGAGTTCTCTTGTTCTTCGAGCAGTCGTTCCAATGTGGATGGGGATTATTTCATGTGGAACCTATCTCTTCTTGGCAAAACTAAGATTTTTGCGTGGAAGCTTCTTCTTAATATTCTGCCTGTTCAAGTTAATCTCATTCAGAGGAAAATCCCAGTTGAGAATGAATGTTTCTTTTGTGGTGATTATCAAGAATCGCTAGAACATGTCTTTCAGTTTTGTCCTTTTACTGTCCTGGTTTGGCAGGTTGTTGCCATTGCTTTTCCACATGGTGTGTCCCAATTTCATGAATGGTTCTTGCTTTTGTCTGAAAATCTGTCTTCGGATCGAGTGGAATTTGTACTAGTAATTATGTGGTCAATTTGGTATAATAGAAATAAAACACGTCTAGGTCAGAATGTCCAGTGCCCATAGCAGATTGTGGATTTCTCCTCTTCCTATTGCATCAATTTAAGGATGCCCAACAACATTTGTTGCCTACGAGACAAGTACCCAGATCTGGTGTTCTTGCTTGTCTCCTCCTTCTAGGTCTTTTATGCTCTGTTAATCCGATGGAAATTTGGAAGAATAAAAAATTGAAGGGATCAATTAAACATCATATTTGAAAATGATGAAAAAGTGGATAAATGAGTTTTCCTTTCAACTCATCAAAATCAATTCCTCTAAAATCGAAAGAAAAATAGATGAAAAGTTAATTATTTGTACTAAAATGTATCTTATTTTTCTATATGTCCTTTGACATTTACGTATACTATGTATACACTAATTTCATATATATTTTTTTTTAAAAAGTAAAAGTAAAAGTAAAAATTAAAATTAAAATAAAAAATTATTTTTTCCATCTTAGCTAGAGGTGAAAATTTCTGATCAACACGATGACACGACTCGAATTTGACACGAACTAAAAAATTACCTGACACACGAACACAAAATATAAACGGCTCATATTCAGTTCAACCCGTCAAACCAAAAATTGACACCATCAACTTATTTATGTAAGAATAAACATTTTTTTTCATTTTCTCGTTTGTATGGTAACACGAAATTAACATGTTTAACTAGTATTATAGATATAAAATATTAATTTTTTGTAACTATTTATTAAGCTCTAACATAATTATTTTATAAAAAATATATTTTTATTTATTATCATTATTATTATTATATTTATTTAAGTTAATTTTGAGTTTGTAGAAAAGTATGAGTATGAATTCAATTATGTGAAAATAGAATATTATAGTTAAATTTTTTATTCAAAATTTATGTGCGTCAACATGAATACGAATAACAGGTGTGCTCAATGCCCCTCTAGGTATTGGTGGGGCTTACAATTTATAGTGCCTCTTAACAGATTGAGATGTCTTTTCAGTAACTAAGTAGCGAATCTGATGGAGCTGGCGCTATCTTCTCAACGGATGAGTCAGTTACAGAGCTCCCCTTAAGATTAGGTCAAAGAATGACGTGGTGATTGACTTCTTCCAAGGCATGAATGAGGCTCTTGGATAACCCTGCTTACTCCCTTGGCGATGTAGCTCCTCGAAACCTAATGAACTTGACTGGTCATGGACCTCTTTTGGACTAGACCCATTGGATCTCGTCTAGTTGGGCCTGGCCCATCATTTGCCCCCTAATGCCCTGAGTCCAATAAAACTTAGAGAAGAGATCATTTAGTTGAATTTGAATTCTGACTCACGAAGACTCCTCTTGACTAAGGAAACAAAGTCAATGTCAAGGCAATCAGTTTCAACCCAACAAGGACTCTCTAGCAATCTGAGAACAATCATGCTACGTCCATGTTGCACTTCGACTGGATTTCGATTTTCTTAATCACATACTAAGGCTCCTCCTTCATTCCTGATATATTTTAGCTCTGTAGGACATCTCGAGCTATATAAACTCCCCCCATTTTATTTCTTTTTGGTATTTCAAAAGGCCCTTGGCCATAAATTGGGGGTTTCTTATTTCTCTCCTCATTTTATTCATTTTGAGAGAGGGCTTCTAGTGAGGTCCCCAAGGACAAAGGCAAGAGGGAAGATTAGTGATCTCATTCCTGATTTTAGTACTCCGAGATGATGTCAAGTGAAGGAGAGGAGATTTACGATGGATTGATCTGAGTGGATGCAAAAACTCAGGCGGTCTCTGTCAAAACAAGAGGAACAGTCGGAGTTAGAGGGCTAGAAGTCCAGGTAGGCATCAGAGGTGAGGTCACCCAGACGTCAAGGCTCGAAGAAGAGGCGACCCAAGTGATTGGCGCCGAGGTCGAAGCGCCGCTGGGTGAGGCGTAGCTGGTCGAGACGCCTTTGGGAGTGGCAGCGTTGGCCGAGGCTCCTTCTAGAGAGGTGTCGTCTGGAAGGTGCCATGTGCGCTAGAGCAGGCCAATCACAGTGGTTCGAGCATGCCAAGGCTGGGCACCGGCTACAGGTGGCGAGCTTAGATGATGGACACGAGGCAGCCCAGCTGGACGCTGAAGGTGAGGCTGCCCAAACAGACGTCATTGGCGAGGCAACCCTGCCAGACGTCATTAATGCTAGTCAATGCTAGGGGCAGGCAACCCTGCTAATTGCAGAGAAGGGGTGTTGTTGAGTGTTAGGTGCAAGCAGCGGAGCCCGCAAGTGGCGCCATGCATGGTGGGTGCTAGGCACAGAGCTTTGGAGCAGAGTACGCAGAAAGAATGCTAGCAGTGATAACTCTGGTCTAATGGATGATTTGGTTGGTTCAGGTGGAACTCCACAGAGTCAGATTCCACCAGGATCCCCTGTTAGTGGCCCGGGGAATGTTTCTCATCCCCGTAGCAGCAAACATCGGGGAAAAGTAGCTCTTGATGATGACAGATTAAAAGTAAGTACCATTTCTAGTACCCTCAATACTGATGCTGATATTTTGCGAATTGTCATTTTGTCGAGCCAAGATGGGAGATCCTGCTTGTGATGACTCCTCTGGAAACCTTTCTATCTATGAGGAGGTGCTTGAGGTTGGGCTGAGGTTCCCAATGTCTTCCTCTCTTTATCGCATTCTACATTACTTTTTATTTGCGCTAGGGCAGTTGGCGCCCAACAGTTAGAGAGTTTTGCTAGGGTTTCTAGCACTGTCGAGAAGGGTGCATCATGAGGATGCTTCTCCTAAGGAGTTCTGTGCAGCTTATACTTTGAGTGAAACTACTTCTCTCAATCGTGGCTAATTCTAATGTGCTCCAATGGGAGGAAAATTGATCATTGTGTTACGCTCTAACTATCATAGCAGAAGGCTTGTTTTATATTTGTTGGAGGAGAATGGACTTCTGAGACTGACAGAGCTTTGGTACCAACAAGATGGGACACTCCTAAGAGAATTGGTACGCCCATTCTTCTCTTTTTTCCTTCAATTTTTGCAAATGTGTACTCATCATATCCCTTCCAAGTTCCCCAGTGCTCTTGAAAGATCAAGAATGGAAGTTGTAGGCTATGAAGGCTCACCTCGTGAAGACTTTGGAGCTATTATGCTCAAATAGGGTGGAGCTAGAGACTCTCATATAAGTAGTGCTAGGGCTGGTACACCCTCTTCGAGACCAAGTGGTTCATCTTTAAAGAGAAAGGGTATGCTGATTCCATTGTATTCTCCTCATTTGATTGGTCTTTCATTAGGATAACACTTCTATCCTTCCATAGTGGACATGACAGTAGTGGAGTCCCGTTATTCCACTAGGAGTACTCCTCCTAAGATAGCGAGGGTCAGCAACACTTTGGCGAGCCCTTCTAAGATGACCCCTCCAGTAGCGCCTCCTCACTCAACGAATCATTCAGAGGTGACAGTCACTCCATAGACTCCCCTGTCGGCCACACCTCCTGTCCCCCGTTCATCGACTCCGCCTATAGGGACTTCTACAAGAGCACTTGTTTAGACTGGCTTTATGTTGGGTGATGTGTGAATCGTCAGGGAGCGACTTGGGAGGTTTTTTTTTCCAACAGAAATTAGTGAGGTTAGTGCTTAGGGCACTGAGAGTGTCATTGACACTGTTCTTGAAGGTCTGGCTCAGGTAAGGGTCTGCTTTTTCCCTTTCTCCAGTTCCTCCTTAGGTACTAACATTCTTTTGTCTTCTTCAGGTTTCAGCTTCCTCTATGTGTCTCTTTTCAAGGGCTATTCATTTTAGTCAATTGAAGCAGAGTCATGAGGTTGTGCAAAAGGAGCTTCTTACTTCTTAGGGGAGGATTGTTGAGCTTGAGGCTGATGGTAGGGCTTTTCAAGCTGAGCTTGTGGGAAGGTCGCACTTAGTGAGGCTGCTTGCACGAGGGCTGAAATAGAGCTTGTGGTGACCTGTGAGAGGGAGGCTAAGCTTGATCCTGAGCATGTGGTGACCCACGAGAAGGCCGTGCTCAGAGAGGCTGCCTGCTTGAGAGAGAAGGTAGAGGTGAAGGCAGCTCGCGAGAGGGTTTCTTGGGCTGAGGTTGATCTACTATTGGCTATGAGAGGGTCGTCAAGGTTGAGGCTGATTTAGAGAGTGGTCTTGCAAATGCCTTCATTGATCACTATGAGGAGTTTCAAAAAAATATTTCTACGGTTTTCCCTGATATTGACCTTTCAGACTTTGTGCCATATGAGGCACTTGATGATGATGATGACTCTGATGATGTAGAGGGCGAGGTCGAGGACGAGCACACTGAGGATGACGGCCATGAGAGTAGTTAGAGTGCTGGGGACTTTTTGATTTTTCTTATTTTTTTAGAAAGGCAGTCTGTAGTCTCCTTTTGTAAAAATGGTTTTTTACTACTGATGTTCTTTTGAAATAGAATGCAAGAATGCAAAGAACTTTTGAAGTAAATTTAGAAAATTTTATTCGATGACTGCTTATGCTAAGCAATAATAGGTAATAACCCAAAAAAGGTACAAGAAATAAAATCAAGTTCTCCAGCTTTACTACTTCTACCTTCCTAAGGAATCATTGGTAGTCCCTCTTCAGATGCTCGGCATTCCCTGGATGGGGTAAGACCTTCCCCTCGGAATTCTGGATCCTATAGGTGACTAGCATCACTACTTCTGTTATGAGGTAGGGTCTTTTCCAATTTGGTCCAAGCTTTCCTTCTTACAAATCCTTCATAGCGAGGATTAATTTCTTGAGGACTAGGTCTCTTGGTTGGAAGGAAAGAGACTTCACCCTCGAGTTGTAGTATCTTGTCATGCGACGCTTATATCCCGCATTCCAAACCATTGACATCTTTCTTTCATCCT